ATCCCCCAGCAGACCCCTGACCTTTGTCAACTCAGTGCGGGACCCCTGGGGCTCATTTCCCTTCTGGCTCTCCCTGCAGGGCCGGCCGCACCCTGGGGGGAAGCTCTAAGGCAACGCCGCCGCCTCTGTATGAAGGGCTGTGGGAATCACCCATATGTCAACCTTAATTCGGGGCTCGGGGTTCAGACCCCAACATTTCAGATGGTCAAGTCAAACCATTGACCCTACTCTGCCAAGTGCACCTCTGAGGCCTATTCCCAAGCAGCTCTGCCAAGTGCACCTCTGAGGCCTATCCCCAAGCAGCACAGCTATATGGCTTTTAAACACATCCAATGATGTGTGGGGTGACTCCACCTCCCTGGGCAGCCTGTTCCAAGGCCTGACAACCCTTTCAGTGAAAAAGTTCTTCCTAATCTCCAGCCTAAACCTCCCCTGGAGCATCTTGAGGCCATTCCCTCTTGTTCTATCACTAGTTACTTGTGAGATGTTGCTACAGAAAATTTCTAGAGGGTTGTAGTCTTCCTCCTAGTTAATCTTGCTTTATGGCTAAAACTTTCAGTGCTCTAAACAGAGACATGAGGCATACTCACTTCTGCATCAGCTGGGATTTCAGGTTTTTGGCTGCTTGAATGTTTTTGAGTTTTACCTCTGTGATTTGCCTTGCATTTGTCACAGGTACCGTGGGTTACCTGCTGTGGCTTCTGTTTGTGTGTGTGCCCTCAGCTAGGAGTGTAATCCTCATCCTTCTTTGCTGTGGTGCTAAGGCAAGACATAAGGAGAAGAAAAAGCAATCCTCTAGGCTTCATCTGAGGTGTGGAGATAGCAGCAACTGGAGGAACAAAAAAGAAACCCACAAGACTCCTGGAGGAAAGAGTCCTGTCCCAAACAGCCAGACAGAGCAAACATTGCCTGGCTTGAAGTTGGGCCCAAGTGCTGAGCTCTGTGCTTGTCACTTAGGAGACTATGATTTTAAATTGACACTAGTAGCAAAAATTTGCCAGACTAGTTTCATAAATAGCCAGCAGATATTTGTTTGAACTGGGAGAAGCTACTCTGTAAGCCAAGCTGCTTCACGAGAGGGCTGGTTTTGCTGTTTGGTTGGTGGGCATAAAACTTAGAATCCTTGTTATAAAACACAACTCTGTACTCTGAGAACGTCCTTGGGGTTTTTTTCTCCAGTGGTGGGTGTTTACTTACTGACTAGACCTTATAACAGGCAGACTGGAGAACAGACTGAGTGAGGAAACCCCACACCTACAGTGACATCGACCCAAACAATGTCTCCTGAAACAAGATAAGGAAAGCTTCTTCAGGACTGAACTTGGACCCTTAAAATTTATATATGATTATGGAGGTTAATTGTATGAAGTCAGTGTATATATATATATGTATATAAACTCAGGTCCTGCTGATGATCTGTGCTTTTAATAATTCCAAGGGCCGCACGATACAATTAAATCATTCCAGTGTGATTCTGATTAAGAATGTTAGAGGATTCAAAGTGCCAGCCAGGCACTGCAGCAGCTATTTATTTCAAAATGCTCATTTTCTAATCTGTAAAAACTAAGGGAGAAAGCAAATAACTACTGATTTTGATACTGAAACTTAACATAAAATTGGTATATATTGGTAAGACAATCATAATGCCAGAAGGATCCTCTGAAGGATCAAGTTATTCTACTACCTGTAACATACGAGTATTTACCCAAACATTACCATCAGTAATGAAAACATTTTGGAAAGCTTTATTTCAGCACTATTCCTTAAATTGAGTAGGGAAAAAGTTTTATTTCTTTTTTTTTTTCAGAAATGGGAAAGAAAGGTGGAATGAGTGTCATCACCTTGTAATCCCAGTGACATTCTGAGCACCGTTACCCACTGCAGTGGATCCATATTGGTGCCATTGGGATTCTTTTGTCTCTTAAAACCTAGGGTGGGAACAAAAGAACAGAGAATAGGAAAGTATCTGTCCTTTAGCTTCCTGGATTATCACCTGGGTCAGCAGAGAAGCACTGTATGTCTGTATATAAGTAAAGGAAACACTGAATTTAATGGCTGAGCTATTCTCTATTCAGAACCTCCCCCATAACAGTTATTAAATTTATTCTGGACATTGTTAATATGTGTTAAAATACTGTTAAGCTCTTGTGTTTACTTGCTAGGTGGGATACAGATGATATGTTTTGAGGACAAGAGTAATTAACTTTGTACTTACAGGAGCTTTATGGGACAACTGAAATAGGAAGACAAGCAGAAATGTGTCTTCTTCTGTAGGTGGAATGCAGAGTGCTTGTCCTGTGTCAGCACAAGGAGAACTTCATTGAATGTGGAAATGGAAAGTTTGCTGGTGGGAAGTAATATTTAAGAACATGAGTATCTGAAAAATGTAAGGATGAGACAGGCACTTAGCACATACACACTAAGTGTAGAAGCTTAGCATAATGTACACAACAAGGGGATTTAATGTATTAAAATCTGGAGTGAAACCTACTCTAGGCAGTCACTGCTGTCATTACAGACAGCATATTATCACTTGCTTCTGTATTTGCCTGGGAACTCTAGGCAGTAGCAATGAGCCACTCCTGAGAAAATATCTTCATTTTCCAAGGACTAAACACATCTGATAGCAGCTGCAAAGAGGAGACAGGAGAAAAATGCCTTATAGTTCTGAGAAAAATCATTAAATCATGGTTGCACGTGACATTTTGGCTGGGAAAGTATAAAAATACCACATTAATGTGGTCTATGCTCTTGTTGGTGGATACATATTGAAATGGAGTGATAAAAGGGATCATGTACTTTTTCTAGGGGATCATGCTAGGGATTGAATCTTACTCCTAGAATACATACAGTTGTTTGTGATCTGGAAGAAAACCACTTTCACCTTCTTGGTGTCCTTTTCTGTCTGCTCTTGAATCATTTCTTCCATCAGAGACACAAGTTTCACATTTCATTTTCTAGCCTCTGTCTTCTCTTGGAAGACAGTTTTGATTTTAGAGTGTTTTTTTCTTTCAGGTTAAGCAACATGACATATATAGATCAAAGTTTCTTGGAAAACATGAGGGCTGTTATCCCATTTAACCAATTTTGGGCACACTGGTTTATTCTGTATAGGTAAAGATATTGTTTCAAGGCTACATGTTCATTAAGAGATAATACAATTTTCTCTTACTCAACCACACTCATTAGTCTCAGGAAAGTAATCACTTGTCTTAGTTTTTTGTAACTTCAAAAGTTCTGAATTTTTTATGTACTTCTTGAGGATAAAGACTTGGAAAAAGTTAGATGCTGTTTTTTGGGCGCTGTGTGTGAAGAGAGGACAATTTGAGGACCACATACTCAATCTGTGTTTTCACTTATTTAAGCTTAAAACAATTTATTCATTAACAATTAAATAATTGAGCAAATATGAAACGTTTTGCAGTAAATTAATGGGAAGTTTGCTTCAGATTTTGTAGTGTTTTTAAGAAGTGATAGAAACCAGAAGAATCCTTCAGAAGAACAATTAATGTAAATCTTTCAAAAGCTGACTGGTTTTATTTTTGTCCTCCAACAGAAGCAAAAGCTTAAGGCATATATTTATTAGTAAATATTATCATATTTAGGGTATTGATAGCACTTTTGTTTACACAGTGATAACTGTGACTTTGGAAATTAAAATTATCTTTCTCACTATTATTACAACAATAGGTGGCACCTTTTGTATTTGAAGAATTACACTTGACAGAGCTGTTACTGTAAAATTTGGTAGGACATTTTTTTAGCTGAAGGAGAATAAAACTGCAGTTGACAGAGCAATAAAATGTTTTGCTAGCTTTGTTTTTGAAGTATGCTTTATGCAGATATTGCAGGGAGGATGTGTTTGGCTTTTTAAAAAACTAAAATCCTGAGAACAAATTAAAAATTAAAATCAAGCACAGTGTTTTTATTGGCTGAAAAGACAAAGCTAGAGAGTATTCTAAATTTGTAATATATAAAGTATGTACTTAGCTGCTAATTACGTGTTACTTTTTCTTTAATAAAGATAACAGTTGGATTTTAGAGTTCAGAATTAAACATGGTATCTTTAAAAATTATGGAATTTTAGATATTCAAGGCCTGGCTTCGTTGTACTGTGCATTTCTGTCACCACCTGGATGATGATTCTAGGCCTCCACAAAGCCATGAACCAGAAAACTAAGACCCTAGGTTTGGGCTTTGGCAACGTTGTGATGGAAAGTTCAGCATGAATTTTTCTTTACTCTATCTCTTAACAGTATCCTAAGCTTTTTTTCCCACAGCTACCTAGGCTGTGTTCTGTGGGACATCAGCAGTTGGTGCAGTGGGCAGGAGATTTGCCTGCTCACCGTGCTGGTTCCTTGCAGAGTGCTGCTCCTGACTCGTGTTTCTCCCTCCCTAGTGTGTTCAGAGGCACCTGTGCATGAGGAGAAGTTTGTTCTATGGCCTCGGAGCTGGATGCCAGGGAGGATGGCAGCTGCTCAGAGCTGGCAAAACCCCTTTATCTGCAGTATCTGGAGAAAGCTCTGCAACTGGACCAGTTCTTACGACAGACATCTGCCATCTTTAACAGGACTATATCCAGGTACCAAAACCTTTTCCATTTTCCTTTGGCAATACCAAGGCAAGACAAGCATTTTTTATTATGTTGTTCCCAGGCAACACCATATTAAGGATTTAATAGTGACTTGTTCATTATAAACTCTTCTTTAAAGATTTTGCACTGTTTCTCATAGCTCACCTGATAATTCATCACGTTGCCAGCTCACATACAAATTTGCATTCTGTTTTAAAGTTCTTTTTCATAGCTGAGTGGCTAAAACTTCCTTTGTCTGCAAAAAGGAGGATAAGGAAGCATAAAGTTGATTTTTTTGGGACGTGGCCTGTAGCCATAAGTGAAATGCAAACCCTTTTGTCAGATGCAGAATTTATATGGAAGTTGTACCAATGAGATGTGAGTCATCAAGATACATTTCTGTCCCAAAATAATTCCCATTGAATTTCTTCTGTGTTTTGGAATTGTAGACTTGTAGAACTGATAACTAGATGGGTAATAGATAACACACCTATTTCTAAGCAAGTAGTAAGATCCACACAAGGAGTAGAAAAAGTAGAGCTTTATATGTCTCACATGCACAGTAGTGCTGAGGAGGATGATGTTGTGCTTTGGTTTAACTTGGTATTAATTTCCTGCTTAGTTCATGCTTTTCAAATTAGTTATTGAGTTAAAGACAGAAGGTGCAGACTGATGAGCAGGCTGCTCTGATGATTTTCTGCTGCTGAGGGGTTCATGGGAAGTTATTAACAGCAATATTTCTAATGAGTAAAATGACACCTAGAGCTGACTCAGTTCTCAATCCTTTACCCAAAGGGCTACGTGTAGGAAAGTTGTGTGGGCATCTCTCTTTGGGTCCTGTCCTTCCGTTGTCACCACGTTACGCGTTTTCTTGCAGCGATGAAAGTGAAGATGGATTGGATGACAATCCTTTGCTGCCTCAGTCTGGGGATCCCCTGATGCAAGTTAAGGAAGAGCCTCCAAATTCTTTGCTTGGGGAGTCTTCTGGAGCAGGGCATTCCGGGATGCTGAACACACATTCCCTGAATGGGGTGCTGCAGCCAGGTGGGCATGTGCTAGGTTGAAGTGCTGCTTTCCCTGGGATAACTGGGAAAAGCATGATCACTTAGGAACTTTTAAACATTCTTTTTTTCTCTGAACAGAACCAAAGTCTGAAAAAGGGAGCTTGTATAACTTTTCCAAACTGAAGAAAAGCAGAAAATGGCTGAAGGTAAGACTATTGGAAAGAAATGCAGCTGTTACAAAATCTGTGAGTAGAGTTCCAGTCAACACCCTGTGGACAGTAGTCAGTGATTCCACCTTGCCACCCACTGGGGATTGTGGTGTGCAGATGGCAACAAGAAGTTGAGTGCTGGTCAGAGCATTATCTAAAATGACTCAACTATCACAAAATAGAAAACTATCCCTCTTCCCAAATCAGAAGAATGTGTGTTGGATTCCTTGCTACACAGTGCTATTCTTCAGAAAATCATTTTCCATTTGAGGCATTTCAGATGGAAGACATGCCACAGTGGTGTTGTTGGGCCAGACCCACAGCCCTTTATTAGGTAAAGGCTCAAGGGTGCTTTGCACAAATGAACTATTCAATATGGTGACTTCAGATTGTTAAATTAGTCTCCATTTGTTCCTGTTAAATTAGTCTCCATTTTTTCCTGTTAAATTAGTTTCCCTTTATTCTTCTTAAGAGTATCCTTCTGAGTGATGACTCCAGTGACACAGATTCACCAAGTGATGAGGATGGAGAGGAGGAAGAAGAATTTTCCCTTTCAAGGGAGGAACTTCACAATATGCTGCGATTACACAAATATAAGAAACTGCATCAAAGTAAATATAGCAAAGACAAAGAGGTAAAAATTCAGGATTTTTACATTTTCTTGATTTTTATTCTTTAACTGTGTGACTTTAACTGCTCTTACATTTTTATCAAAACCCATAATATTTTGTGGACTGGAAAATATCCTGTTGTTTGGTAGACCAGAACAATCTAACATCAGTTTCAGACAAGGGTTATTGAATTAATTACATAAGAGTCTGAAAAGCTATTGATGCCTTATGCTGAGAATCTCTCAGTAATTTATGTAGCTAGTTTCTGGCATGTGTTATATTTAGCTGCCACAATGCTCTGTCCCAGTCAACAAAACAAATATAGGGTGTTAGAATACAAGATTTGGAGTATGTGTATATATATATATGAAAATTGAGGTGCTTCAGGTTAAATCTCAGTAATTTATGTAGCTAGTTTCTGGCATGTGTTATATTTAGCTGCCACAATGCTCTGTCCCAGTCACCAAAACAAATATAGGGTGTTATATACACATATACTCCAAATCTTGTGTTCTATATATATGAAAATTGAGGTGCTGCAGGTTAAATTTTAATTCAAATAGTATACTTGCATCATCATTGAGCTGATGAGTAATAAGATGATGTTTGCCTCCTTGAAAGAAAGTTCCTAGTTTCCTTCTATATTGTTTGCTGTCATTACTTGACTTTCTTTTTCTTTCTTACCTTTTATATTTTGGATCTTTTTCTCACATTCTCTTCTCCCTTCTTAAAAGAAAACAGTCTGCTGCACTTCTGCATTTTTCTTAATATTAAGCAAAATTCTCTGTTTTGATTCTAGTAATATATTTCTTCAGATTACAAGGGCTTTTGCATAAATTATTTTCATTGCTGTTTTGAATTGCACCAGGAAATAGTCTCAGATGAAGTCATCCTATTCACCTTTTAGAGGAGGTGTCTGAAATGAATGTTTGTCTTCTTGTTTTGTATTTTGAAATTTCTCCAGAAGGGTGAAGAAATATTTTCCCATCCAGGTCTTTGCTTCTGTCCACTTCTTTCTTGTGCCATCTTTAATTTGTCTGTTTATATGTAACCCATATATAGTTCTTTAATATTTTAGTTGAATAATGCTTGGAATATACTGACATTTTTGATAATTTTGGCAAAAAAAGGCTGAGGGAGGCAGCTATATTTTCACTCGACAATCTGAATGTTCAAGGTGTCTGTCCTTGTGGAAATGTTTTAGGTACCTCTTATCTAAATTGATCCTTTTGCATCCTTTGGAGTGATAAAGTACAACACATGTAATTTATGAATGCAAGGAAAATAGATGGGAGGTCCTCAGCTGGACCACTTCCTGTAATGTGCTGTCTGTGTTAAAGATGGGGCAGTGTGCTCTGAGAGTGTGAGCTTCACTTAGCTGGCTTGGCTCTGTGCAGAGAGCTTGCAGGCCACCTCTGGGAATAGTGGTTTCACTTTGGATCCTTGCTAACAATGCTAAATCTGGAGAGGGGCTTTTTATCTGATGTTTTATTTATGACTGAGATCTGAACTCGTTTTCCTGCTGTCTGTTTTTCCTTGCTGTGCTGGCTCCCACCAGCTGCAGCAGTACCAGTACTACAGTGCAGGGCTGCTGTCTACCTACGACCCTTACTACGAGCAGCAGCGCCACCTGCTAGGGCCCAAGAAAAAGAAGTTTAAAGAAGAGAAAAAGTTAAAAGGTAAAGTCACTAAACCCTGTGTTTTTAAATGGTTGATATAATTAAACCTCTTTTCCTCCGTTGTTTCCTTTGAAGAAACATAAATGCTCAAAACTTTTGGGTTTTGCATGGAAATACCTCGTTCTGTCCAAAAAAAAAATCTTCAGAAGATACTGTGCTTTATCTTCTCATTTCTCAAAATCTGAGGTCATAAAAAGGAGTGTGGATTGAGAGGTCGTGGCTTTAGGTTTTCTTTGTGGACCTCTGAATCTAGAACAAAACAGCTATGCAGCAAATGCCTTTTAGCTTTATTCATTGCTTCAAAGTCCATAAATGCCACTGTGTGTCATGGTCCATTTACTCAGTTTTTTGAAAACACAGCAGTTCCTTGAAAAATATAAGAACTTATCCAGTAACTGCAGTTACTCCTGAATGTGTAATTCTAGTGAACGAGAAATGATAGGGAGTGAGAGTTTTCTGGAAGTTAGAAGGACCTCAGAATT